CTTGACGGCTGGAAGAGAGCTAGTTTTGGAGCCGTTGCCCGGAGGCTCGGTCCGTCCTTCAGGGCGCTGCTGTTTTGCTGTGGCGAGGGCGCCGTTTGTGAGCCTTGACGGCTGGAACAGAGCTAGTTTTCTTGTCGGTTCAGAAAGCAACGTTAGGCACTGGGAGCCGTTGCCCGGAGGCTCGGTCCGTCCTTCAGGGCCCTGCTGTTTGGGCGTGGAGGAGGCGCCGTTTGTGAGCCTTGACGGCTGGAAGAGAGCTAGTTTGGGAGCCGTTGCCCGGAGGCTCGGTCCGTCCTTCAGGGCCCTGCTGTTTTGCTGTGGCGAGGGCGCCGTTTGTGAGCCTTGACGGCTGGAAGAGAGCTAGTTTTCTTGTAGGTTCAGAAAGGGTTCAGAAAGCAACGTTAGGCAGTGGGAGCGGTTGCCCGGAGGCTCGGTCCGTCCTTCAGGGCCCTGCTGTTTGGGCGTGGCGGAGGCGCCGTTTGTGAGCCTTGACGGCTGGAAGAGAGCTAGTTTGGGAGCCGTTGCCCGGAGGCTCGGTCCGTCCCCGTCCTTCAGGGCCCTGCTGTTTTGCTGTGGCGAGGGCGCCGTTTGTGAGCCTTGACGGCTGGAAGAGAGCTAGTTTTCTTGTATAGGGTCAGAAAGCAACGTTAGGCAGTGGGAGCCGTTGCCCGGAGGCTCGGTCCGTCCTTCAGGGCCCTGCTGTTTTGCTGTGGCGAGGGCGCCGTTTGTGAGCCTTAACGGCTGGAAGAGAGCTAGTTTTCTTGTAGGTTCAGAAAGCAACGTTAGGCAGTGGGAGCCGTTGCCCGGAGGCTCGGTCCGTCCTTCAGGGCCCTGCTGCTTGGGCGTGGCGGAGGCGCCGTTTGTGAGCCTTGACGGCTGGAAGAGAGCTAGAAAGCAACGTTAGGCAGTGGGAGCTGTTGCCCGGAGGCTCGGTCCGTCCTTCAGGGCCCTGCTGTTTGGGCGTGGCGGAGGCGCCGTTTGTGAGCCTTGACGGCTGGAAGAGAGCTAGTTTGGGAGCCGTTGCCCGGAGGCTCGGTCCGTCCTTCAGGGCCCTGCTGTTTTGCTGTGGCGAGGCTGCCGTTTGTGAGCCTTGACGGCTGGAAGAGAGCTAGTTTTCTTGTAGGTTCAGAAAGCAACGTTAGGCAGTGGGAGCCGTTGCCCGGAGGCTCGGTCCGTCCTTCAGGGCCCTGCTGTTTGGGCGTGGCGGAGGCGCCGTTTCTGAGCTTGGAAAGCTGGAAGACGGCTACTTTTCTTGTAGGTTCAGAAAGCATTGTGGGGCATTGCCGTGCGGTGTGGCAACCTTAAGCTGGAAACGTCATCAGGTATGCACGCGCCACTGGTTGGTGCGACACTGCCGGCCGCTGGGATTGCGATGCGTTACCCGAATTCGGCCGGAAGCCAGTGTTGAGTGCACCACCGTGCCGCATGTTGGACATGCATGCGAATATGTGCGACCTGCGAGCAGGCCATTGGCAACGCGAAATTGTTTGCCGCAGCCATTACCGCGGCGGTGATCGACGCGCCCTGTTGCCACAGGGCTTTGCACAGACTTAGCACAGTACGGGCAGATGTATATGTGCAGTCGTGGCGGTGCTGTGTCAGGCCCGACAGCAAGCTGCTGGTTCGATGAGTGGGCAGTGTCCGTTTTGGGACCTTCTGTTCGCGTGGAAGTTTGTCTTGCTTCGTGTGTTTCCTGAATTTCCTTGCGAATGTCCTCTAGGATTGCTGCGTGCCGGTGGCGGGTTTCGCGTTGGCGCAAGCGGGCCAGGCGTTGATTCGTGCGATGAGCAAGACGGCAAACGAAGGCAAAGGCTGTGCATGCGTTGCATACTTGTGTGCCGTCTTGAGTATATTCACGACCTTGTTGCCAAGCTGTAAACTCTGTTCGTGGCTTGCGTTCCGCGCACATGGAACACATGAAAACAGACCAGCGACTTTGACTGAGCTTCGGCCGCCATCACTGTGGAAGATGTTCACTGCAGGAAGGGTTCCAAACTCACTCTCTCCCAGGGGTCGGCGGCAGGGGGCGTAGCCCCTTATAAACAAAGGAATTCCCACAATTCATATGGGGATGGGTCAAAACCCTGGTACCGTGCCGTGAACCCCAAAATAGCTGGTAAATGGATGTTCATCCCACTAAAAATGTATATATATAATATAGATATATATATATATATAGGTATTGACCCATACCCATATGGCCAAATATGCTACTAACTTACGTACCTCCATCATTTTAGAATCCTGGAGATCATTGACCAAACAGCCATCCCATTGATCCCAATGATACCTGGTCTATATCCCACTAGGATTGATGGTTTACCCTCTGGTAATTTAACATAACTATGGAAAGATCCACCATGTTTCATGGGAAAACTCACTATTTCTATGGCCATTTTCAATAGCAAACTTTTGACATAACCAGAGGGTACCCATGAAATCCCACCATGGAAAATCCCTCCGAATCTCTCGCGCAAGCGCGCCTGCCACGGAGTCGGAGAGGCCAAAGCCCAGGGAACTCACGGCCAGGAGTACCAGGCCGCTGTTCAGCATCACCTCCACTCCAAACCTGGCTGTTTTGACTAACATGGCCATGGAAAATCATCACTTTTAATAGGTACATCATCTATAAATGGCTCATTTTCCATAGCTATGTTAAATAACCTGGCTGTGGATGAGTTTTCTTCTTACCCTTTGGTTATGACTAAATAATATGGAGGCTTCCCCAAAATAAACATGGAGGGTTTATAAATAATATAGTTTATATGGTAGTAAACCATGGCCATGGAAAATAATCACTTTTAATAGGTACATCATCGAACTAAATGGCTCATTTTCCATAGCTATGTAACAAATAACCAGAGGGTATATATATATATACAATTATATAATAAGATGGAAAAATATGGGGATGGGTCAAAACCCTGGTACCCCTGGTGAACATCAAAATAGCTGGGATTTATGGATGTTCATCCCACTAAAAATGTATACATATATATAGGTATTGACCCATACACATATGGGAAAAGTATAGTTGCGTTTGTTAGCCCTGGGGGTTGGGGGTTCAGATTTTGTAGACACAAATCTAAAAACATAGGGGGGGGCCCTACAAAACCAGAAACATGTCATTTGAACATGAACATCTTCAATCTACAAAATCTTAACATGCAACCCCACTTGGGCTTACACCTGTCACCCCCTCCAAATCTACAAAATCCAAATCATAGAAATCCATCTGCTATATAAAGGCATTAAAAATTGATTCACAAAACCTTTAAAAATTGTCTCAGAAAAAAAATGCATTTTGTAGAGAAACCAGTGTTTGAGGTATAAAAATCATTTTCTCTTTGAGCCTCTGCCATGCTGTGAGGAACCCGTGAAGCAGTGGCCCAAAAAAAATGTATGTCTCCACATCAACATCAATGCCATTCAGTTCCAAAATTTCAATGCCACAGAAAATGTGGAATCATATATGTCAACTATTTTTGAAACCAAATGGAACCATATGAAATCAACTTAAATCATGGTCCAGCCCATTTCCCTACAAAACCAGAAACATCCGACAAAATCTAAACCATGGCCTTAAATTCCTGAAAACCAAAAACACTACAAAACCAGAAACATCCAAAAAGTCATCCCAAATATCAGCCCAAAAATGGCCTCCTACAAAATCTCAATCAGCTTGAGGAGCATTCAAGATACCATCACATGACTCTCAAAAAAATGGTTTGTTTCAAACGTCAACGTGCTAGATTTTGTAGGGGAAATAGGTGGGACTATGGAAAAGTATGGAAAAGCTCAGAAAAATTTCCCCAAAGCTTGGAGAATTCCTCTGTTTTGGCGAAAAGTTGGTTGGTTTCACAACTCTGTGAGGTTGACGGGATGCCGATTTGTTGCTCGATGGCACCCTGGAAAGTGGCTTTCTGTTTCATCGAAAAAAAAAACTCCATCAATTTGGCTGACTGGGTATGGCTCAAGAATGGGTTACCACTGCACTCACATTCAACGGATGAAAATTAAAACCATCGGGGTTAATAGTTTTGAGCCGTACATGAGGAATATTTTCGGATGGGTCAAATCACGGTTCTCCCAGGTTCTATCTGATAAGTACTTGAGTTCGCAGGCAAAGTTGTGACAAAACTGCTGCGTTCAAAATTGGGGTACCCTCAGGTACTCCAGCGTCGCAATTTTTCAAATCCTCCATAGAAATTTCGATGTGTTTCCCATTCAAACCTCCATTTCGTGGCTGGAATTTAGCGTAGCCACGTTACCGGATGGTTACCCCAAAACCATTCACGTCCTCAGAGACGGCCGTTGGAAAGTACGGTCTCCCACTGTCCACCAACTCGCCTGCTGATCATGGAGCCCATTGCAAGGTTACCTGTCATGACATTTTGATGGCGAGTCGCACAAAACTGTGGGGATGTGATATGTTGCATGATACCATGATGCTTCTTACAGTAGCAACTTGAAAAAACTTTAAATACATGCTCAAGTTGATTGAATTCCGGATGAATTCGGATACTTCAATCTGACATCATCTTGATTTGGCAAATGATCAATGGTAATTTCAGGATCCTAAAATGGAGGTACTGTACCATATAAGGCTATATTTTGTGGGGATATTCCCTTACATAGGCCTAAAAAATAGGCCCTATATATGGTAGGTACCTCCAATTTAGGTTCCTGAAATGACCATTGAAATGATTTCCTTTATTAAACCATCATCGCTGGTGAGGTGGTCATGGTTGTGCACCACATTGGAGTCTCGCCTCCAAAACTCCACTGTTTAACTGGACCCATTGCCCATTCTGAAGCCTAGAAACAATCAGCATTGGCTAATCCCTATGGATCCAAGTACCTTCTTAGGAAGTAAATTGGGATATGATTTAGGGGGTTAAGTGCCCTCTCAGACAGTGTTTGGATCCATAGGGAATGAATATCCCAGCATGATTTTCACGAATCATTGATCTCATCTTTCAAGGGATATACCCATTGTTTGCCTTTCATTTCCGGACTCAGCCAGGTTTTTTCCCGGGCCCTACGTCAACTGTGGGATCCCGGTGACCCGCTCGCTGGGCCTATAAAACAGGCCGTAGGCATCACGCCGAAGATGACCCCCACCGTGCTGGTGCTGGCACCACAGGTTTCCCGCGCATAGAGCTGGAAGAAGGGACTCATCCTGCGTTGCGGACTTGTGCAACGGACTTGGGGCCTTTTGGCAAGCAGTTTTCATGGGGATCGAATGGTGATATCACGTGGATATGATGGGATACTCTTTACCAAACCGTATGGACTTTGGGAAGATTTATGTGAGAGACCTTGAGATATGACACCATAATGGGAAACACGAGCTTTCTTAAACCATCGATATCTGGTGTTCCAAATTTGAGATAGCCCACATATCTGATATATCTGGTCGTCATGGACAAAATGTGCGGCGTTCAAATATGTACTAACCAGTGTATAGACATAGACCTATCATTGTCACAAGATTGCACCCATGATATTGCACAGCTTTGTCGAATGTATCGCTGCGCTTCGTCTCGTCCCAAAATGCGTTTTTTCTTTTAAAAAATTGACTGTATACATATTGCAATACACAGTCTATATTATATATTTACATATTGTAATCAAAAACACAGAAAAGTGCTTCCAGAATGGTATAGATGATATTTGCCTCATATTTCCAAACTTTCAACTTGTCGATCATTTGGGGTTGCTGTATCGAATTGTCTAATTGTGGTCATGGTGATCTAATCGACTATACCCATATCTGTGATGGTCAAGACCTTCAGACCTTCGTGCTGAAAAATCTCCATTCAGCCGCTGAATCCCCCGCAAACAGCATCATCACCATCTATAAACCCCTATAAAGTTCACCCAGTTTTTACTATAAATCCTGGTTAAACCATTGAAAATCATGAAAAAACAAAGCCACAACTTTTATGCTAAGGCCCAAGGCTAAGGAACTGAGGGTTCCCAGGACAGATCCCAAGCGTCTGGTAGATCATGGCCATGGACAGAAAGTAGGCGCCCAGACAGGTCACCAGCACCACCCCGCGCTCGCCAGAAAAAAGGGGCGCCATGGCGTGGAAGGATCTGATTCTTGCAGATTGGAAGATTATACTAGATAAGATATATGATATATGTATATATATATATGGAAACATGTATATATATATATATATAGGGAAACACACATATATATATATATATATTTATATACAGATATATATATAGAGAGAGAGAGAAAAATATACACATATATTATATATATATACATACACTGTGGTTTTAAGGCAGAATGTTGGTGTTTAAGAGTTTTGCGGGAAAACAGGAATTACATCGTGATGCGTGTTTTTATGTGTATATTAGGGGATGGCATATGGATGTATGAGGGTATATGACATGATTTGTATATTATGTATACCAAGCATGTCTGCTTCATATGTCTGGATTCGTGCATGTGTAAGAAACCAGTAGTAAGTACTTGACAGGTCTGATAAGTGTCTGACTCAGCATGCTTCATCTTTAGTTTCTTCTGTCATTCACAAAAAAGAAAACATGTTATCGCAGGTCTTGGATTTGCTAAGGAGTAGATGTTTTCAAATGCTGTGTTCTTCACTGAAAACTTTAAGAATAAACTCCTGAAGCGAACCCAGGAGCTCTGCAGAGGCCCTGGATCTATGGCGGGTCTCGTTTTTTTTTGTTGTAAAGAAAGGCAACATGCCGTAACTATTGGTCCCAAACCACGAGTAAGATGGGCTTCATCCCAGGTATCCCTGGGTAGCCATATTAAAAGAAAAACAAAAACATATAAATGCCGGCTATAATTTCATCTATCATCCAGGGATTCAAGAGGGATTTTTGTATAGGCAAAAAAAAACGTTTTTTATCATTGAAATAAGACTTAGCTATCTGGAATGCACATCCAAGTTGTTTCCAATACCCGGAAAGTAACTGGCCATGGAAAATTACCTGGTTGAAAGGGAAAAATACATCTTTAAAATCCAGATATCCATCTAGATACCCCAAGGAACATATGGGTTTGTCTGAAAATAGGGTATATTCCCAATTATAGCCATTTAATAGGGATAATGATCATTAACCATTGGGTTTAGGGGTACACTATTTTCAGACACACCCATATTCAAACGTATTTTAATGATTCTGAACGCGTCGTCTCGTCCCGTCTTGCCATGGCTCCCGACCCCAAGATGCGCGAATTCTAAGCCTCGGGGGGCAACGACGGGATTCCGAGCGGAAGTTTTGTCTATCCAAAACATGTTTTGAAGTTGGATCAATGGATTGGATTAGGGGAAAATTGGAACCGGAAAGCCCCATATTTAATAAAATTTACAGGAAAGCCCCTTTTTTCTAATGGGAAAATCGATGGTTTCCGGTTTCGATTTTCCCGACTCAACCAATCCATTGATTGGAGGGTTATATACCACTCTTCAAGTATCAAAACTTGCTGCTGCTTTCAACCCCCTTGGAAAATATTGGATAGTTGATCACATTTGTTGTATAATTGGATCTTTATCCCCACTAACCAACCTAAACCTTAGCAAGCGCAGGCCCGCACTACCTTCATCCCTACCTCTTCTCAGCCTTTGTTATACTTTGTTCAGCTCATTTTCTCTCCAATTCTTGACAAATCCTTCCAGTAACCATCTTTTTTTTTACATACGAGATCCCCAGTGATATCCCCAACAACAGAGGAATTTCATGATCTCCCAATAGAGGTTATCTGATATCAATGATCTCCTCAATCTAACCTACATACCCTCTGGTAAACTAACATAGCTATGGAAAATCACCATTTTCAATGGGAAAATCCACTATAAGTGACCATTTTCAATAGCTATGTTAAATTACCAGAGGGCATCTCTCCTTTACATCTTGGGCTTTCCGCCAGCAGCCTGGGAGCCCCCAACCAACGGCACGGCTGTGTTCCGATTCACTCTTGATGGCAGCTTCGGTATTGGCCGCCAATGGACAGGCGTACTGATGCAGTGCCTGGCTCGAGGCTCGAGGCTCGAGGCTCGAACATTCGGGATGTTTGATTTTGAAATAATGAGATGATAAGTGGAGAGAAATATAGATAAATATAGATAAATATAGATAAATATAGATAAATATAGATAGATATAGATAAATATAGATAAATATAGATAAATATAGATAAATCATGATAGAACAATGTTGTAATCCACATGAAATATGGTTGATTTAAGCCGACGATCTGTGCAGTTTGATGTGGAAAAAAACACCATGTGGAGATCATTTCATTTTCTCACAGAGAAACCACGGCTTTTCCATGGGCTTTTCCACATTGATGTTCGTTGGTTTACACCAGGGTAACGAAAAAAACTGTAGCCCAACAACTGAGGAGAACCCCGGTTAGTACCTGAAGCACCATCTGGTTATTTAACATAGCCATGGAAAATCAGCATTTTTAATAGGTAAACCATCTATAAATGGGCCATTTTCCATGGCTATGTTAAATAACCAGAGGGTACCTGAAAAAATCCTGTGGAAATGATACTGTGGATGGTTTGGATTGAAATCCTGCAGCACCTGGATAGTTTGAAACCCTAAAATGGGATGTTTACCACCAACCGTATAAACAACTGGTGATAAACGGATATCGCAACCACAGTATCGAACCAGAACCAGCAGATTTCTCTGGATTCCTCTGGATTCCTCAACTCCGTTGGTATTTGTTTGGTGCCGAAGATTCCCATTTTGCCGCCATCTTCGGCCATCGTTCACGATCCATCTGTGGAATCCCCAAATAATTTGGCGCTTGGAAATTACCATTTCTGCTGGTAAAACCTTCATTTTTTCTCCTATGTCTCATATCTTATTCTATAGGCTCAAAAGGATGCGTGATGATGTCAGACGTGACATGGCTGGTCTCAGATACAGCGCAATATATCAAAAAGATACAGGATGGGGGCCCATAGTTAGCTATATAAATTGGTGTATAACTATAATAACAATAGTGCATGATACTTATAACTACATTTAGATGAGGTTATAAACCAACTTATAACTGGGGGCCCCATCCTGTAAAGATATATATATATACTATACACTTAACCTGTATATATATATATATATATTATATACACGTAATTTCTAGGTGTACATTAATTTGGGCGTTCTGGGTAAGTAGTATATCACATGTTTTTCCTTTTGAATCATCATATTATTGTCATAGTCAAGTCAATCATCATTATTGTGAAAAGATCATTGAAATAATTATTTTGGTTATACATCATATTCCCATCATATTCCCATAAAATCCCATTAAAAACCAATAACATCATCATTGTCCCATCACATTTCCATCATGATTTTCGGGTTACCCTCTGGTAAACTAACATAACTATGGAAAATCACCATTTTTAATGGGACAACTCACTATAAATGGCCATTTTCCATAGCTATGTTAGTTTACCAGAGGGTATTACCTATGATTTTCCCATGAAATTCTCCATTTTCTCATGATTTTCCCATCAAAAAATCCTATTTTTCGTCTACGCTTCGAAACTCTGCTGCACTGCGCGGCCTGGATTAAGGACCTCTTCCCTATGCCCGGGCCTAGATTTGGGTGGCGGCTCTGGGGCAACGGCTTGCCCGGGATCATGGCCGGGGATCATATGGGGGTATGGGGGATATATGATATATTTATGATTTAGGATTTATGGGGCATATATATGATTTACATATGATTTATATATGTATTACTTCAATATATAAATCATGATTTCTATTTCAGGGGGAGATATTTCTATATGCTATAAATAATGACGGATTTTTTTCGGTTGCTGCGGCAACCGCATCTTGCTTCAACAAATGGTTTAGGCGGCAAGAAGTTGTGGATGCCGCTGGAACCGGGGATGGATCGGGGATGGATCTGATGCAAGGTGGATGGTCCCAGTCGTGATGTGAACGCTGGTTTATAATCCCCATGAATACTATAGATATAACCCCCATAAACTAATCAACCCAAATGTGAAATTGGACTTGTTTGCACCAACTTAGCGATTCCGAACTGGGGCACCACCTTGTGGTTGTCTAACAAACCATTGGCAATCCAGCATGCCGATAGAAAAAGATATTTGCGCATCTTCAGTTGGTCATCAACTCATCCACAAATTCTGGGCGTTGCCATCCAGGTCACTCGGGGTTTCCGTCTGTTGAGGGAATTTAATATTGAAGGAAAGGGTCCATGATAAGTAATTATAGACGAGATAGATATAATTCAGGGGGTTCTAAAACAAAGCCGTTGGCAACTTGCCAATCTGCTTGATCTTAAATACTCTGTAATCAATTCACAGTATGATGTTTCCAATTGCCCATTAAAATTGCAAAATGAGTTATCACTCTAGATGTGTACCGTTCACCTTGCGCTGTACCCATCATTCATTGCCTCCATCTTGCCAAAAATGTCACCACTTTTGTTGGCTCAACTCCCGTGCATTGTGTGGTTAACACATATGAACCTCAAGAAACTTCACACATTGGTTTCAGCTTATCATTTAAAAAAAACAAGTGCAAAAAACTATCTGCCTCACAGGGTACCCGAACCCCCACTTCCAATTAATTCTCATCAGTTCCTCTATAGGAATAGCTATTAATACTTGGATTTGCTTAAGCACCCCCCCCACATATAATATATACTATTATGTATTTATATATATATATATGTGTGTTATATATTATATATATTATATGATATATATATATATTATTATATCGTATTATATTATATTATATCATGTCATATCATATTATATTTTATGTTATTATATTACATTACATTACATATATACATTCTAGTGCATATATATATTTATATGTATATATTATATTATATATATACCCTATATGCATTCCCTAAATGGTGGATGGCCAGTGGGAAGAGAAGCCCATAACCCCGGGCCCTGGGCCGCCCAGCGTCCCAAACAGAGCACTTTGGTGTCGGGTGCCTTGAAGGCAATGGCCTTGGAAAATGGTGGAGATCCATTGTGAAAAACCCAATATGGAATGAGATATCGAAATATACAATATTGGGATATATTGGGATATATATTTCGATATCTCATTATGATAACATGGTTATAATATGTGATAATATGTTATAATATGTTATAATATTAATAATATGTTATAATATGTTATAATATGTTATAATATGACATGGGATGATTTTCCATATATATATATATATCATATATATATAACCAATTATGATAATATGGCTACTGATCCAAAATATACACATAGGCGTTTATTGAATCATGCATCATCTCTCAATCATGAATCATCTCTTGAGATGATCAGGGTAGACATAGAGCTATTACCCTCTGATTATTTAACATAGCCATGGAAAATGGTTCATTTATAGATGGTTTACCTATTAAAAATGGTGATTTTCCATGGCTATTATGTTAAATAACCAAAGGGCAAGTTTTTTTATTTACCTTGTACAGCTACAGACTTGACATCTAGTTTATATCTCCTGCTAGCAAAATCACCCACAATCCATGGACTCTAAAGGGGTGTTTGTTTTTTTTTTATGCGTTTGACCACTGACGATCACACACTTTGCACCCTTAAAAGTGACAACTACGATCCACAATTCACAATCCATGGCCAATCACCCTGATACCCTGCGCTTAAAAATATGTCTTTTAGTGGTCCACCCTCCACGCGGCCTTCGGCAATCCAACATGGCAATGGAAAATCCACCAACTGCCAGAAATCTGCTGGGATTTCCATGGATGTCCCAGCTTGAAAAACATGACTTTTCCCACGGGTTTTTTCACATCCGAGACACCGCTTCGGTGAGAAGGCTCTCCCAAATGCCTCCCAGAACTCTGGCTTGAAACGAAAAATTGTTCGGAACCCGAAATCTTCAATGTCTCAGGTCGATTTGCCGGATATAGCCTAGTTATGCCTAGTTATGCCTAGTTCATTCTGTTCGTTGAGATACGATGACGAGCCGTTCCGAATGCTGGTGCTTTCCTTTCAGATGTGGATTCATCGCCTTGAAAAAAAACAGGGAATGGGAATGGGATGTTTCGCACTGTTCTAAAACCATTTAGACATTCCCATAATTATTTAGGAACACCATGTTATTTCCATTTCTATATATTTCCATTTCTAATGTTTCGGGTGTTTCATAGGGAATGGGATGGTTGCATTCGTTCAACCCTTGGACCGCGCTTGCGCTTGCAGTGACCAGCCACTTGCTCAGCCCCAGAAGTAGATGGTTTCTCCCATGATTCAATTGGAGATCTTCAGGATCCAATTGATGGAGGTACGTTAGTACCATATTTTTGGCCATATTTTGGGGGGATATTCCCTGAAATTTAGGCCTAACAAATAGGTTTTGTATATGGTAGGTACCTCCATTTTAGGATCCTGAAATTCCCATTGAATGATTGTCCCAGCTTACAGTGTGAAACTACAATCACCAATACCAACTGGTGCAGGATTATGTCCATCCACAGTATAACCCCTATAACTATAGTTCTATATGTACACTTACAAAGTGGGGCCCCCTAGATAGCTAAGTTGGTTAATAACTTCAATAACTATGGTTTATGGTAGATATAACTATAGTTAATGGGGTTTATAAACCATCTTATAACTGGGGGGCACCACATTGTAGTTCACTGGAACTGCACTTCCCAGGTAGTGACTCGACCCGTTTTTTCGCCACTAAAAGCCTTGTATCTCCAGTAGGCCTTGAAACACAAACATAAATTGAGCATCGGAAGAATCCCGCTGCTACAAGGTAAAACCTTATACCCTCTGGTAAACATACAAAAAACTATGGAAAATCACCATGTTTAATGGGTAAATCAACTATAAATGGTCATTTTCAATAGCTATGTTAAATTACCAGAGGGTAACCCACACAAATATCTGGGACCATCATGGAATATATTGGGAATATCGTGGGATGACATCAAAAATCATGGAATATCCCCTGAATCTCTGATCATCCAGTTGGGATCAAAGTGGCCTGCATCAGCCCGTGGTTTCCTTTGAGACCCCAAACAGTTTGCTGGTTTCAAGGCTTTCTAGAAATGATTCAACTACCTTTTTCACTACCCTTCACCAGGTCGTAGGATCTGTAGGATCTTCACAACCCTTCACCGCTGGTGAAACGCTTAAACGACGCGGTCAAGTCCACGTTTTTGTTTTGATGCCTCAATCATCTTCAGGGTTCAACGTCCCGATGCAAGGATTACAATATAGCCCGATTATATATATATATATTATATTATATTATATTATATTATATATATATTATTATATATATTATATTATATATATATATTATAATATATATATATATTATAATATATATATATATAAATTCACCATTATAATAGTATAATAGATTATAATAGTAATGATCATAGCGATATAACCACTATTTAAGGATAGAGATTTCTGGATAAAAACGGAATCTAAAATCAAGCATAAATTCCGAGGTGAAACGGATTTATGCCCACCAAAAATGATGGTTGGTTAATGATAGTTTCCAACCAAGTTAGTGATACGGTGGATGGAAGAAATCCTGCACCACCTGGGATGATAGAAAGCTTATAATTAATGGGATAGACATGGATAAACCACCTATTAACTGGTGCAGGATTTCTTCCATCCACAGTAGTAGTTAACATGAGATATGTGGTCATGGTACCCTAAAATAGTTGGTTGATGGATGTTTCTTCCCCAA